TGTTTACTGTTGACAAATGCATGTAGTTTTTTTAGCACAGTGGTTCAGTTGGTAGAGCTGATGCCTCTCAGCAAGAAGGTTTTCGCATCAAATCCCGGCCTGGGGACCTTTCTGGGTAGAGTTTGCATGTTCTCTCCGTGCATGCGTGGGTTTTCACTGGGTACTCCGGTTTCATCCCACACACCAAAAACATGACTGTTAGGTTAAYTGRTAACTCTAAATTGTCYCTRGGTGTGAGTGAGAGAGTGAATGGTTGTYTGKCTCRTTTGTCTCTATGTGTGTCCCTGTGATGGACTTGCGACCTGTCCTGGGTGTACCCCACCCCTCGCACTGTGGATATGGGCACCAGTGACCCTGAAAGGAAGAATTGGGTATAGATAGATGGGTAGATGGATTAAGAAACTTAGATTCCAGTTTAGGTCAGTGTTATTCTCCTTATTGCACTTGATTGCTTGATGGTTGAGATGTAACGTTTTGATATAAAGGGTCAAATTAGAACTGATTAGCATCTCTGAATTTACCTCAGTCTCCTAAATTAGTAAAGGCTAAACACATGTTGCAAACAGAAAAGCTTAATTTAATGCAAACATTTTGTTTTTGTACTTGTCAGCTTAGTTAAATTCAGGTGGTAGCTTTTTTTGTCAATGAATGTACAGTATATAAATATTTTTTAAAAACAAATACATTGAATTTTAGGATACCGAGGGCTTTTTGATGTTTGCTCTGAGTCACTATTCTTCCTCAGAGTGCTATTATACAACAGTTATACATTTAGAGTGCAAATTTATTTTATCTATATCAAGGGTGCCCAAACATTTTCTCTGAGAGGGCCAAAATTAAAATCAATCTGAGGGCYRCAGGCCAAATGCAGTATTATAATACATGAAATGCAGATACTTCTTAAGTAAAGTTGTTTTAYTTTTAGGAATAAGCTAGCAGCCAGTGTGGTTGCCCACATTCTTCTTTTTTTTCCAGCCCATGGACATGGAGAAAATTCAATGCTCGGGCAACAAATGCTCATGGGACTTTTCATAAATTAAAATTTGAGTATATGTGGTCTTATAAGGTGAGCAAATCTAGATGTATGCTTAAACCTAATCTAAATTTCTCTTGTAATTCCTTGTATTTTATGTTTAATCTTAACATAATTCAAAGATAAAGTGAGTACCATGAGTTAGGACTTCAGCTCCTTGTACCTATAGTTGGACCAATGGTTGAAAAGTAGAAATATAGTGTTTCTACAMAGRACAGGAGATTACAATCTAATAACCAGGACAACTGCTGGTGGGCCAAATCAAATGGCTTGGTGGACCAATTTTGGCCTGCGGGCCTAATTTGGGCACCTCTGATCTAAACGTATACAAATTGAGAACGTTTTCTTTCTATACAGCAAGTCTTGTTAAAATTGATAAAGTAAGAAATTTAGGACCTTAAAKCTTTCAATAAGTGGTTCTAAAGATTCAAGAAAGTTTTTTTTAATTGACAAGGCCTGTTAGCTTATTGTTGATGATCATGATTAACTGCAGCTTGTAATTTATCTTTACTAGTATAAAAAGCATTTTTGGACAGCACCTACTGGATGGACCATTAGAACTATAATGGGTCAGAGGCRTTTAGTAAAGGAAAGCTCTAGATTTCCACTTAGCCTGGAATGGGTTTTGGAGCTGTTTCTTAATACGTTCAGACCCCAGGATCATCAGTTCAAACCATTTTATATAAAGTACAAATAATTAGGATTTGTCACTATCTCTTGTAAAAGACCCAAGCTGTCCCCTTCAGATGACAGGAAATTAGTTTAGATGTTCAGGAACAATCCAAGAAGCTAGCCTGGCATGAACTGGAAACCAGTGTCACGCTACAGTAGCTCCAGTTTTACCTTCAAGCTCTGGTGAAAGCTGCAGCTGATCAGATGGGCAAGCAAAATGGTTGTAGAAAAAAAGGTTAATGGTCAAATGAAACAATTAAAAAATGTTATTTCGACAAGAAGAACTATGTTTTAAGGCAGGGATGTCCAAAGTGTGGCCCGGGGGCTATTTATGGCCCCTGAACTGATTTTGCGTGGCGCCAGATTTCAGTTCAAGAATTATACTAGTTTGTTTACAAATTTGTCTCCCTGGTACAGKTGTTTGATATAGATGGAGACTTTCTATTTATTATCAGGGCAAATTTATCACAAAGTAAAATCTTACAATAAAAAATATTGGCAACAATACCAATTATTTGTCTTTAAATAGCCAGACTCGTAGCTTTTTCCACATTTATTTAGTGACTTCAACTGAAAAGCTGATTTTGCTGCACTCCATTCATTTATTAAATTCATCTGAATACAGCAAGCATTTTCAACAAAAGAGTGACTTAAATCCTGATTTTATTGATCAGAATTGACAAAACTGGGTTATTTATTCCACAATTGAAACCCAGAAAATTGCTAAATTTCTTTCAATAACAGAAATCCTGCAAAACACTTTTTTAAATTTCTGGATCTAGATTAATTTACACATCCATTTCCAGCAATAAATCTGACTACTTTATTTGTTTTATTAAAGTATTTAAAGCTTAGTTTATTGTTGAGCAGGTAAAGGAAAAATGTTTTTGGCCCTCAAGTCCTTCTGACTTTATGATTTTGGCCCATGTGACAAAATGTTTGGACRCCCCTGTTTTAAGGAATCAAAGTGAGGCTTTCAAGCAAAACATTTAACCAACTCTAAAGCACGGTGATGGTAGTGTCATTCTGTGGTGCCACTGCAGTCCTATATCTAACTTCTTCAACTTCACCTCAGATTAACAGGTGGTTAAAATTTAGGCACAAGGACAATGATCCTAAACACACAACTGTTGTCTTAAAAAAGTCTGACATAAGACTTCAGGCATGGCCTTTCCAAAGCCCTGATCTTAACCTGAGTTAAAATGTGTGGATTGTGCTAAAAAGCTTACTCTGTCAGAAAACCAACCAATGAACTGATCTAATTCAGTCAAGAGGAGTGGTCAAATATATCAGCCAGAATTATGCCAAAAGCTTTACTTCGGAGCTGCTTGTTAAGAAACATTTAACAAAGTGGGGTGTGTTTATATTGAGCCTGCATTTGTCATTTAGAGAAAATCCACAACTTTTGCACCCAATTCATCATAAAARCATGTTCAAAATGACTGAAGTTGTAAACTGTAAAATCACTCCACCTTAGAAAAGAACACGACGGTGTTCATGCTCATCTGAAAACAGCTGCATCATGTCATGGTGCATTCAGGATTTATTTGTGCAGTTTTCAAACTGAGGTCATTAAAAAGCCACAATCCAAATGTCCACAAAGTTTGAACAAACTAGTTCCTCCTGCCTTTGGAACTGAACTGATGTTTAATAATTTCCTTGTTGATTTGTTTTTATTTTATTTTATGTCTTAAAAATATAACTATATTTTTTCTGTTCCTCCTGCTGTTTTCAGGCTTAGCGGCTCAGCTGGCTGTGGATGTTTCCTGTTCACATGTGAGACATCTGGGTTAGGAGCAGTAGTAAGACCCCTCGCTACAGCCAGTACACCGGAGGAGCAGCAGCCGCCTCATCGCCCACCTCCAGCTGTCCTTCCACCCCTCTCGCAGACTCTGGGGTAAAATTTGAGTCTGTTTGTGTTTATATTCTCTGGATTTAGACCTTTATGAATAAGAAACAATACATTAAAATGGTTAAGAGCGTTAGCATGTTGTCAGACTTGGCTGATTTGTTGTTAGATTAGTTTTGTTAGTGACTGGAGGTAACTCTTCTTCTCTGTAGGGCAGGATGGACGCATCATTTGGCCCCACGTTCTCAGCAGTGGCTTCTGGGTCTAAAGGTAACTGTCCGTTAATCTTCTTTTTCTTTTCCTGAATTCTTTCTGACATACTCCCTTCCTCTGGTCTTATCTCTCCTGAGCCATGCTTTGATATTATGTTCTCAGCTGAAGGATCCACTACATACAARCAGCACAGAAGAACTCCCTCTTCCTCTTCAAGCACTCTGACTTACTCCCCTCGTGATGATGATGAAGGAATGGTAAACCGATCTTCTCAGCTTGATTCAGTCTGATTAAACTTATCTAAACAGATCATTTATAAGGGTCAGATAATCTTAAATAATCTTAGATGCGCAGAGCTGCCGTTGATGTAAGAACCCTTGTTGTTTTTTTTGACCCAGCCTCCTATCGGCACTCCCCGAAGGTCTGATTCAGCCATCTCAGTTCGGTCTCTCCACTCCGAGTCTAACATGTCGCTGCGCTCCACTTTCTCTCTGCACGAAGAAGAAGAAGACACAGTACGTGCCTGCCCTGAACTCAACTAAACACAAACTCAGCAGATGTTTTACAGATGTGTTTGTAGTTGTTGTCACAGAAACAGAGTCGACCTGGAACTGAAGCTGAACCCAACATGGCTGCCTGGAGTAACACGAGTTTATGTTTGTGAACAGGAGCCCCAGGTGTTTGCTGAGCAGCCTTCAGTAAAACTCTGCTGCCAGCTGTGCTGCAAYGTCTTCAAGGACCCCGTCATCACCACATGTGGGGTGGGTTCACTTTCCACACCTTTTTTTTTYATTTCAGCTCTGATTGTTGGGCTTCTTCCAACTTGTAAGCTTGTAAAGTGATGAAGTTTTCTGTTTCTTTGACTTGAGCTACAATAGTTAAAGTACACAACATGGAAACTACGTTACCACAGACCAGGAGAAGTTTTAGTTTCGTGAAGTYAAAAGATAAACTTGGTAAAAACTAGTGGTTCACAAACTTTTATCTTCTGCTCCCCACTTTGGTTTATAATAGGGCTGTCAAATGATTAATATTTCTAATCTGATTAATCCCAAAGTAGCTGTGAATTAATCATAATTAATCTTAAATTTAAAATACATTTCTATTGGATATTGATAAAATAAATTACTTGAGTTATTAATTAGTTTTTAATGTTTTTATTTAGAAAACAAAATTGATGCTTAGACATGATTTTTGTGTATAAAACAGGACCTAAAAATGCTCCAAACATATTTGAGTCAGTCAAATTTTGTGCAGAGTAATGGTTAAATCAACAATTCAAGGATTTTCATTCCAAATGAAAGATAGATACTGAGGTCACAGTTGTCAGCAAAACATAAATAAATAAAAATAAGCCATAAGAAGACAAAAAGAAAAAAAACCTATACATAATGTGTTACACATGGAGTTTTTTAATTTCATTTATTTAACCTTTATTTATCCAGGTAAACTGTTTGAGAAACACTTCTCATTTACAAACATGACCTGGCATGCACTGAGTGCATTGCAATATATACAAACCTACATATTCAGTCATAGTAAAGTGACTGTAAATTTTAATCGCGATTAAAATTTTTAATCCATGCCCATGCAGCACTAAAATTAATCAGAGTTGACTCGATTAATTTCACAGCCCTAGTTTATAAAAACAATTTCTGTGCCCCCTCGACACACATACAGCCTTCAAGCAGAGACACACGTTTTGTTTTCAAAGTCCATTGCAGTTTATTTCTCACCTGAACCTTTTCTTTAACAATTTAACTAAAAAAATAAAACTGAAATAAATTACAGGTTGTGATAAATTAAACCTTTTTAAAATAACAAAGCAAACCACCAATGTAATTAAGTGTAAATATTTATTTACTGTTGCCAATATTCAATAGAGTTGTAACGATTTACTCAAGCTCCAATTTAATTGTGATTATTAGTTGTTTTTTTTATCAACAAAATAAATTGTAGCCATTTTATAACCTAATAAGTTTCTTTTCTTTAACCGTCAGCATTTGTGTCTTTGTATCAAATGGTACCTGTCTGTTGTTTTAGTAACAGAATATAAATTCAAAATAAATAAATAGGTCATCAAAAATACTTTTGGTGGCCAAAAGCGATCAAATATCAAACATAACAAAGTTCTACAATATAGGGTTGGGCATAATCTTATCGTGTGCAATTAATTGTCAGAAAAACATTAATCTATTACTTTTTGGCACTTGACGATTAACACGATTAATGCAACCAGACAGAGTCCGCTCGCTGCTCCTCTCTCCTTCAAATATGACGAACATTCAAAAAAAGTTCTGTAATTTATTTATCAACACAATTTAAAATTAGATGTCTAACCTGAAGTCTGTAATTTTGATACAATTTGGAACTGATTTTTATGAAGAGCAAATCTTTCCCACTAAATTGGTCATGTGACCAGGAAGGACATGAGGGTGTCCAGGGGCTCCAGGGGATTAATTGTTAAATTAATTGTTATCGGCTAAATACCACAATTAATTGTGATTATTATTTTTTGCTAATAATGCCCAACTCTACTGCAATAACACTGAAATCGATTCATTTGTTTTTATGAATCGGTTCAYATTTTAGTTATAATCGATTCAAGATTAATTACATCCCTAATGTCCATCATTGCTATGAATAAAAAATGCCTCCCCCTGAGTTTAAAAACAGGAGTTCATTTTYARTGTCCAGCTTGGATCTGTATTTTCTCRTGGTTGAGGCCACAGCTGAAAACCTTTCTCAGAAGTAGGATGTAGCAAAAGGCACCTCGTTTACCTAGCAGTGGGTAATCTTTGTCCACTCCAAAACTCAGCTGTTTGAGACTTAAACTGCAGCCTTGAATCAGTAGTGGCATCAATGAACTGTTCCTCCTCTGATGTGTTGAGGTCGACAGGTGTCGCACCAAAAAGGTGGTCACTGATCCAGATGTATTCTTTGGAGTCCTTCACCAGAAAATACTTCAGCAAGTGTCTCTGAAGGGCAGAGATGAGTTCTTTCATGAATGATTTCAAGCTCTCACATGAGTCCATCTTTCACTCGCTGCTCMTGCATCACAAGTTTTCTGCTAAATAATGGGACTTTATCTGCCAGATGTGAGAGGTGTGTTTGTACCCTACATCCACAAATTCAGTTCATTGAATTTTAGAAACATGTCWCTGAGCTGTGCAAGTTTCATGAGGAACTCGTTCCATCACTTCCGTCTTCCTCCAAAAAGATGCAAATCTCATCTCGCACTTCAAAGACCSTGGACCTCACCTTGCCACATGACGGCCACCGGGACTCGCTGTGAAACAACAGATGTGAAGAAATTCATTGGAGTTTGTTTATCCACTGATTTTTAAAGACACTTCACGTAGTTTAGTTTTTTCTTAGGTGAACAGTATGTATATCTTTTTATAATGTGGTTATTTCTGCTTAAATTGATGATTTTATGTGCAGACTGGGTCTTGATGAGGGTTTYACAGACTCAGGAGGCTTTTAGTTAGATTTAAGCCTGGTTTAACACTAGCTACGTTTACATGGACAAAAGTAATCAGATTAAAAGGTCGTTGGGAATAAAAATGCGTCATGTAAACAGCCCGTTTGGATTATTCTGACCCGATTGAGCTCGATCCGAATGAATTTTTAATCCGAATGAGTCGGGTGGTTTATGCCGATTGATAATCGGAATGAGGTTCATGTAAACACTTAATCGGATCATCTTATTCTGATTGTAGAAAACTGACCTGTGTGCATGTCTTCTGACTTTCATTTTCTCGGTGGGACAGCAGCGCTCCAGCTGCGCTGCACTGCGCAGAACTTTATCTCCTCGCTCTCTTAACAGATGAAAAAGGAAACAAACAGCAGACATTGCTTCGCAAAAAATAAAAAGCACGTATTGCTTCATCTGCAGCTCAGCCGAGGAGTAACGACGTCTCTACCATTATTAAAAACTGACACAGGTCTGTCCTGAGTGCACAGAGGAGCTTTGTTTACGTTTGTAACACGGAAGTAGAGCTGAAAATTTACAATACTGCGCATGTAAACATTTTTCATGATAGGATTGTGTCCATGTAAACAGTACATTCGGATTATTTAATCCGAATACATTTCAATCCGATCAAAAAATTTTGTGCATGTAAACATAGCTACTGACAACACATAAGAACCGTGATGGAACATTAGCTGAGGACTGAATGTGTGACGTCTGGACTCCGTGTAGAAATAGCCTGCCCTTTAAGACACTGTCATGAGGCAGGGTCAGGACGTGAAGATGATGGTAACTCAAGGTGTATTTCCTGGTTCTGGGCACTGATTAGCCGGCTGCTGGTGTCTGCAGAATAAAACCACCACTAATCAGTCCACAGCTGTGTYGATGGGTTTTGTATAACTCGCACATATCACTCAGACATTCACATATTGTTGTTGGTAACTTGTGGTAGATCTGAACAGGTAAATGAGTGTAAGAACACGTGATATTTTTTTTAGTGACCAGAGCCGAAAAAAAATCTGTGCTTTCGCAGGTTGTGTTTTTTTTTTCAGTTTCCACTTTGTTTATTTCCTGCATCTCTGCCCTGGCACAGGTTGTGTGTTTTGATGTAGTTTACTGTGATGATGACATCGGTCATTACGTCATTCGGTTCGGGACTCAGCTGTTGCTTTGCCGTGTATCATGCAGTGCGTCTACGTGATGAGCGCTTGCAGCCTTTGGTGTTTGCCAGCCATTGTCTCTCTGTCCAGACCCCCACACAGTCCTCCCATTTCAGATTGGCTTCTTTCATGTAAGAGTCGATCACTTTAAACGGCTCTTCTGCAGTGGCTCTACCAWTAAGTTGTTTGGAAAAAAGCAGTTGCTCATCTCATCTCCATCTATGAATCTGACATGAGTTATCAGTAAGCAGTCTTTGTTACTGTCAGTGGCTTCTGCAGAGAAAAGCGGCAGCTGTCCCACACCTTATCGTTTATCTGCTCCTCTGTCCTTTGACATGTCRTAAACACCTGATGGGATTATTGGACAGACAAATGGCCCATAATTTTCTGGTTGCTGTGTCATCGATCAGAGCTGAAACCATATCAATTCCTCTGCAGTTCTGTGTGACGTTTTACACTGTGCCATTTGGTTGGCAACTTTATATGAGCTGAGTTGAGCATTTGCTGGCTCAGATGCAGCTTTAGTAAAGCACTGTGGTTTACAAGTTTTTATTTGAAAAAGTCAACTGACTGTTTTGTCTCCAAATGGAGTCTTGGCTTGTTAGGCTTCAAACTGTCACAAGTTAGCACTTTAAGACAGACAACACTGGTGTCTCCTCATTACCCATCATTGTGCACCATTGCCAAAGGCAAGACTTGCTTCGTCCTATTTTCTTTAGCTTGGAAGCATCTGCTTTGTGTTTTTATGGGAGCCCCATCAAAAACCTGTCCGTTATGCTAGCAGTGTCCAAGCTTTCATTTTTAATTTCTTTTATTCATTCAAGCCATCGAGTTCATTTGAACTAACCATTTAATAGTTTGCCATTCTCATAGGGTTTAATGAACTTCTATTCTGAAAAAAACTGAATTAGTGGGAAACACTGATAATGCAGAGAGTACTGTTGGACGTTTGTCTCAAGAACCATGCAGTTTTTTTTTAAAAAATATATCAAAGATACTCGTTTGATTGATTTTAAAACTGAAAAATTTTGAACTCAAAGTGCCAAAGCAATTCTCATTCAGTCCATCTTAGTGCAACAGTACGGTCCATTTTAACAGTTTTAAATTGGAGCTGACAAACAGCAAGATTGTTGCTCAGAACCAAAGTTTGTATTTCTCTGTCTTTGATAATAATAATGATGATAAACTGTTATTAATTGTCAGTAGTTAATTTTAGAATCTGTATACATCTAGAATGAAAACTACACTTGTTTTGATTGGTAATAAACATGTCAGAACATATTAAATATTCAAAGGATTTAAAGTATGAACAAAGAAGCAGAGAAGTTGTAAGTTTCTCCTGGTTTTTCTTCCCTGCAGCACACCTTCTGCAGACGCTGTGCCTTGACTTCAGGTGAGTATCAGCTTCTTGTTTTGCAGTCAGGATGTAAAGAAATTCATCTTATTAAAAACATTATAATGTCCATCCGTCCTCACAGATAAGTGCCCCGTGGACGCTGCCAAGCTGACGGTGGTCGTGAACAACATAGCTGTGGCCGAGCAGATCGGAGAGCTCTTCATCCACTGTAAATACGGCTGCAGAGCCACGACCAGCGGCGCGAGTGGAGCTGCAGCCGCCACCACCTCGGTGGCAGGGAAACCTGGGGCGTTCGAGGTGGACCCGCTGGGCTGCCCGTTCACCATCAAACTGTCCTCGCGCAAGTACGGACCCCCAGAACTGGCCTTACATTTGCCGGACTGTAAAACGAGGTCATGTTTTTGTCGCCATTTTGCTGTAATTCATCCCAACGTTTGTGGTTTTGCGCAGAGAACACGAGGCCACGTGTGACTACAGGCCAGTACGGTGCCCCAACAACCCCTCCTGCCCCCCATTGCTCACCATGAACCTGGAAGCTCACCTTAAGGAGTGCGAACACATCAAGTGTCCTCACTCCAAATATGGGTGAGTCTTTTCTACTTGTCAACCAACAGATAAAAGCAGATATTTCTATTTCGATGAAAATATGGCTGTTTTCATTCATTTATTATTTTTTAAATAACGCCACTTTCCACTAATCACCGCAGCCTCCTCTTTCCAACAGCTGTACGTTCATAGGAAACCAGGATACGTATGAGACACACCTGGAGGTCTGTAAGTTTGAGGGTCTGAAGGAGTTTCTGCAGCAGACTGATGACAGGTGAGCTGCAACTCTGAATCCAAACATTTTAAAATCTAATTAACCTTTCATTGTTTATATATATATTTATTACGTAATCCTTCAACGCGTATAAAAAAGCCATCTGTGGTCGTGTTCAGGTTCCATGAGATGCAGCTGACTCTGGCTCAGAAGGACCAAGATATTGCTTTCCTGCGCTCCATGTTGGGCAAACTCTCTGAGAAGCTGGATCAGCTGGAGAAAAACCTGGAGCTTAAATTTGGTGAGAAAAGAAAAAGATTTCTAACGTGCTTTTTTTAAAGTTCTGTTGAGTTGGAAATGCAAGTGTTGGACAAAACATGAAGGAACCACAATTAGTGGAAATAATTGAACGGATATGAATTAATCTGATTTTTAATAGAAGAAAAATAAAGCATCACTACTTCAAAAACCTACTTTCATAGATTAGATGTTGATTAGTTCACCTTGTTTTTCTTGCTCTAAATGTGTGTCTGCATGTGTTTTCAGATATGCTGGATGAGAACCAGAGTAAACTCAGCGAGGACCTAATGGAGTTTAGGAGAGATGCCTCAATGCTTAATGTAAGTTTTTTTTACCTCCTGCAATGACAGAATCCAGAACTTGCAGAACCTGAAATTTACACATAAAAACAAGCATTTAAAATGATATCGGACAATAAATCTAAATGTTTGACGCATGTTAAATGAGGTTATAATTGAACATATTTGATACGTGTGTCATTATAGGACGAGTTGTCCCACATCAACGCCAGACTCAACATGGGAATCCTGGGCTGTATGTATTTTTTGTTCCTTGTGTTGTCCTGAACTTTCCCTCAGTGGAACTAATAGCTTTTGAACTTTTGAATAAGATTTGAATGATTCAGTAAATATCAGTATGCAAGTTCACCCATCAAAACTTAAATATTCTCCTGATGGATTGATGCAATCAGYAGTTTTGATATCAGCCTGTCTGCGTTCATGTGTGTAGTGACATGGAAGCTGTTCAGTTGAGGAAACATCAACAAACCAAACATAATGCTTTAAAGCAAAGTTTTAGTATAAGCTAATGTTGTGTTCATTTGTTTGAGAAATAAAACTGTGTTTTAGTCCTGAAATGTTTTTTTTCATAGCACACTTGTTTGGCTAACCATTAGCCTAGCCTGGTCAAAGACTTTAGCCTCTTTYTCCATACTCTGTGCTGAGATATTAACAGTTAAAAACTATTTGTCAGAACATCACTTCAGACACTGTTTCTCTTAAACACTTTTAGTAATTCTGAGAACAAAGCAGGCGAAGTTGAGATGCATGAAATTCAGCATGAAAAACAAACTGAAGACAGCAAATGTCATKTTAACAAACGTAAACAGATATCAGTGTGCTCACTCAGTATTGGGACAAACAGGTTAACTGAAATTTKCTTCAGCACTGTTGTAAAGGGCAGTGTGGCAACTCTGTTCTTTTACTTCAAACCACACAAATGAGTACAAAGAAAACTTRTGGTAGGAGAGTTTGGGTACAAAGTGATGAGCGCCTGTTTTAAAATCACTTCAGCAAATGCAATCAAAGARAAATTGTTTAACAATTAATTTTCAGTTGAATATGAAATCCATCCTTCTTATCYGTTTGTCTGGATAAATGGGTTTGTGTTTCTGTGCTGTTTTCATTAAAGGTCTCCTGGCTGTGTGTATCATTGCCAGCTGCTAACCAAACAGATAATATCAGGTGTTAAAAAGATTCCTTTTTGTAAAAACAAAGTTTCTTCTTGCAGATCAGCACCATCTAAGCTTTTTTATGTATTTTGGTCATTTAGTGAGAAGATYTCATGACACCCACTGCTTCCATTATAAATCTGATTGGTTGATTAAAACGTCCATCTGAACTTAACCAGGGGTGTCACACTCATTTTCACCGAGGGCCACTTGAGCGTTATGGTGGCCCACGAAGGGCCACTTTTAATGAACTTTGACGTTTCATGTTTAACTTTGACTAAACAGTGTTTTAATATAAATACTGATAAGAACTGAGTGTCTGACTGACTAAATCTGAAATAAATACAGAAATATTATTAAAAGTAAAATTTGTAAAGTTTTACTCACTGATGAGTTTCTAGTGAGTAGCTGCATTATGGCAGGTTTAGTTATTAGTTGATGCTGACTTTAAAGCAGCTTATTTTCAGACGTTATTACTGAGCTATCCATCTAAACTGCTCAGTTAAGTAAACCCAACAGCTCAGAGGCAGGACAATTGTTATTATCTTTCACCTTTTTAATTTATTTTGTCGCCTTTAATCATAAATTTAAAGTTTACTATTGATATAAGAAACAATTTTCATGTTAACTAAAAATTTAAAATAAAATCTGGCGTGGGCCTTGAGTTTGACATGTGTGGGCTAGACGATTCTGAGACCCAGGYTAGACAAACAAAAAATTATAATTGGGGTTTATTTGTTTTTTTTTCCCTCAACACAAAATTACAGCAACAAGCAGAAAACACAAAAACCAACATGTCTTAGTCTTATGTTACAGAAAGCAAGCAAGCAAGAGAAGGACATTTGTTTGATTTGCAGGTCTCCTCAGGGYCTTCTCTGAACAACTGTCAAATAAAAATGTCTGTTTTTTCCTCTCGTTTGTGTTTCTCAGTTGCTTTCTGCCACCAGCAACTCAGAACTCRACTCTGTTTGTGTTGCAGCTTACGACCCGCAGCAGATCTTCAAGTGTAAGGGGACATTTGTGGGCCACCAGGGTCCTGTCTGGTGTCTGTGTGTGTACTCCACTGGAGACCTGCTCTTCTCTGGCTCCTCTGACAAGACCATTAAGGTACTCTGAGATAAGAAAGCCTTTTCTGTGGACGCAGCTGTGATTTTAGTTTAAACACAGTCTCCACATTCCATGAAATCATTTTAAATGGAAAGAAAGTAACACAAAAAGCWATATGTGTAGACGTTATGATCCCTACACATATATATAAATGTGTTTTTTTTTTTTTTTTACTTGCTGTCAGGTCTGGGACACCTGCACGACCTACAAGTGCCAGAAAACCCTGGAGGGTCATGACGGCATCGTGCTGGCTCTGTGTATCCAAGGGTAACGAGCTGCACACACAAAAACCACATGTTCTGTTCAGTGTTTTACGTCAGCTGGGAGAGCTGGTCCTCCCCCACAASCATAACGTTTTCTGTTATTGTTCCCACAGCAACAAGCTTTACAGCGGCTCTGCAGACTGCACCATCATCGTAAGTTCCTTCCTCCTCTTAGTTTCAGCAGGAGCACATCTGCTTAGTTTCAGGTCCGAGTTGTTGGCRTGAAGTAAAGTTTGGCGTTGTGCTGCGTAGGTTTGGGACATCCAGACTCTGCAGAAGGTCAACACCATCCGTGCCCATGACAACCCTGTGTGCACTCTGGTCTCCTCCCACAACATGCTGTTCAGCGGCTCCCTCAAGGCCATCAAGGTAGAGTGAGCTGTAAGAAGTCTTCTCTCACAGACACATGTCAGTGTCAGGTCGAAGCACAGGCATCGTTTTCATGTTGAAATCAGAGCGCGTACACAGGGACTTTCCTTTCTTACCCAACTCTTCGCTCCTCCTCCTCTTCCTCTTCCCTTTGTGACCTCATCAACCAGTACGTGCCTCAGCTCAGGTTTATATGCAGCTTTTTTTCCCCTTGAATCGTGTGTTAATTAGAGTTAAGCTTTTTTTCTGTTTATATTGACTTAAAGGGATCCATGATTAGTTGTAACATTAGACTTTATTTGATAAACATATAAAAGACTAAAAATACTGTAGGATGTTTAGTTTTTATAATTTTTAAACTAAAAATTTCAAAATATATTACACAGACGGGGCCATTTTATTTACGCACAAAGCATTCTGGGTAAATGATGACGTGGGTAGGTCCTCGGTGTGAGCGAGCTATATCCACCCTGAAGGTTAATCTTGGAAAATATCTGATGATTGTCTCTTTTAAATGAAACCAGAGAGCGTTGACAGAGAGGAGAAGGTAGAAATGACTCAGYCTGTAACTGAAAATATGGATGGAGGACCTCAGTTTAGCTTGTTTGTCGTGCTAGCGCCGAGCTAATACATATAAGGCAATATAGCRTCGGTGCTAGTAACTCCTCTGTGTTCAAACTATATATACAGTATTAGGATACGTTCACACAGCAGGCAAATGCAGAAATCCCTTTGTTGTTTTGCCCCATGTGACCCATATTTGATTTTTTTCCTGACAGTCTGAACGTGACAAATCTGATTTATTTCAAATCCARCCCAAGCCTTTTCAGTATGTGGTACTGAATCAAACACACATCTGATATTTTCCAAAGCGACCTCTGTCTGAACACTCTGTTTCATTTCATCTGACTTTACATCAGTGAGGTGGGGGGTGAGCAGATCGATCCATGTAATAAAGACATCAACCTCGAGTCCTATAATTTACATCTATAGCTCCACACGTCTTCAGCTTCAGAACAGAAGTCCAGTTYCTTCATCTTTGTTTTAATTTTCCATGTCTTGGATGACTGAGAATCCACAGAAACATGTTAGTAATGTTTGTGTCTGACCTTATCGATGCTAAAGTCACTGAATCGATACTTTGCTTCAATCCAAATCTGGTCAGAGGCAGGTGAAAATCTAAACAGTGAACTAAACATGCATGTCAAATAATTATTTAATCAGCTCTGACTGCACAACAGCTCCAGAATCGACATGCTAACATGTAGCATCCATGTTAAGCTAATATTTTAAACAGTGGGCTGAATGAGACGTCACATCTTCTGCACATGTGGGTCACATCAGGCCATGAAGAGTTCACACAGGAGTCAGATGGAAGTCGCATTTAAAATATAATGTGAATATTCACGCYGAAAACACTTTTTTTCCCTTCAGAATCAGAAYTGAGCATTAAGACCTGCAGTGTGAACGTAGCCTTACAGTTATCAGTAGCTTGGAGCAGATTCCTGGGTCTTGCCCAGTTGTGTCTCTTATTGGCTACTTCTTAACTTTGGACCAGGTTCCTYAAGAGTCTTTTATTAATGGATACCCTAAATCTGACCCAATCAGAAGCAGTGTAGAGAAGGGCTTTTCAACAAATTTAAAAGATAAAATATAATAAAACTTCTTCTGCAGGTATTGTGCAACACGAGTCATAACTTCCTGTTTTAGCCAATGTCCTGTAGTGAAAGATTTGTCTGTAGCTTATTTCAACTGAGTACCAGCAGGTTCATGAGAAGGAGAGGTACCATGTAAAAAGTGATTKTACGTTAAGAACGGAAATCTAGAAGTTCTGGTAGTGAGTCCCAGATGGGGAACCACACAATCGGACCTGTGACAGTGAACTGCAGAGGCCTGTGGTGTTTTGATGGGACCTCATGCTTGTGTTGGTAGGTGTGGGACATCGTGGGAACAGAACTCAAGCTGAAGAAGGAGCTGACGGGTCTGAATCACTGGGTCAGAGCTCTGGTGGCCTCCCAGAACCACCTGTACAGCGGCTCCTATCAGACCATCAAGGTATTTTGGGTGGGGGGCATTAACTATATGTGAAGCTGCATATATGTGAGTGTGTTTCTCCTGCTGGAGACACATTGATGGTGTAAAGGGGGAGGGATTGGTTCTGAAAAATATTTTGGTGGGCTTTGTGAGACCAGTGTTGTAGCAGGATGAATTGTTGGTAGGCATGGGACGAATACCGGTTTCAAAACCACTATAATTTTCTGTCATACCGTGCCTACGGAAGGACAGAACGGAAAGCGTTTTTTTTGTTTATTTTTCCTCCAGTCTGTGCCGCTGCAGACTTTCCCCCGCGACCCCTCACCCGCGCACTCCCGCAGCAGACTGCCTGTCGTCACTCGCAGCTCTGCAAGGGTTGTGTGGTGGCTGAAGAACAGAGGTCCCCAAACCTTTCCCCTGTCTAAAATAATAAAGACGGCTATATGAAAATACTTAGGATTCCATAAAGATGACAACAATGTGGACCGTGGAGGCAAMACATCTAACATGATCGCAGCTCCAGGTAAAGTTTATGCTAGCTTGAAATGAACGAGCTAACGTTAGCATCAGATTGTGAAACAYAYCACCGTGTTGYTGTTGTTAATGCACTGATCACAACTTGTCTGCAAAACTGTTTTGAGTTGTTGGATTGTGTATTTGATAAGTTTTATGTGAAAGGTGATAAAACTAAATGCCTCCTTTAGCCGAGCAGCTCGTTAGCTGAACGTGCGTTTCATAAACACACTTTCATAGTTGTGATTTCTTGTTTCTGTGTGCATATAATTATATAATCTTTACGTCAAAAACCCCTTTGTCATTTAAAACACGATGAAAACTTGATACATTGCTTCATTAAAAGACTTGTCGTGCAGTATACACTGATTTATTTAAACTAATAAAGCAACAGAAAAGCAGTTATCCTATTAGGTGTAAACTTTATCAGGATAATCTAATTGCATTAGGTGCTAAAAATCATAAGTACAGATGCACACRGGTAAATACAATTTCAGCAYAACACCTCTGAGATCYAAARACAGCTTCCAGAGATAAAGTTGAATATGATAAAAGAAAAGTTATTTTCTTTTTGTTTTTAAATACAAATTTCAAAACAAAATTATTGTCATATCACGAAACCGTGCTATTTTTGCCCACGGTTATCATACCATCATAATTTCATACCGTCCCATGCCTACTTGTTGGTGGTCATAATATTGTGGCTGATCAGTGTAACTCAGGTTAGGTTTAGGGTAGGGGGTCAGGGTTAGGCAGTAGAAATGATGTCAATGCAAAGTCCCCATGAGGACAGAAAAACAAGTGTGCGTGCTTGCGCGTGTGTGTGTGTGTGTGTGTGTGTGTGTGTGTGTGTGTGTGTGTGTGTGTGTGTGTGTGTGTGTGTGTG